CAGAACTAGTTTCAATGGTATTTCCCAATACTCAATGGAACCTTAAATCATGCAAAGGGTGATCAATCCAAAGCAAGCATTAAGCGTAGAAACGTACACAACAAAGAATGAAACAATACATATATATATCATTAAAAACGTAAGGATTACAATAGAGTACGTTGGTTACATCTAACCCCACCAAAAATGGGTGGAACCACTCAACAATGAGGGTAATTACAAAATAGAGATGAAAGGAGAAGTGAAGAACCGAAGGAAAGATCCACACACGAACGTTCCCAAGCTAGGAGAATCCCTTCTACCGCTCCAAGGAGGCACCCCTGCGTGAATGAGGAAGAAAACCCCCGAAAATGCCTTCAAATACGAGCTTGGGAGTCAGATTAGGGTTTCCGCGCTACTAATGGGCCAAGCTGCATTCCTAGATACATTTCCCACTAGGCATTTGTTTCAGAGCTAGTTGCAAAGGTTATTTTCCAATACCCAATGGAACCTATATCATGCAAGGAGATTCAATCCAAAGCAAGCATTAAGAATAGAAACATACACAACAATGAATGAAACAACATGTATATATCATTAAAAACGTAAGGATTACAATAGAGTACGTTGGTTACATCTAACCCCACAAAAAATGGGTGGAACCACTCAACAATGAGGGTAAATACAAAATAGAGATGAAAGGAGAAATGAAGAAATCGAAGGAAAGACCCACACACGAACGACTCCAAGCTCCGGGAATCCCTTCCACAACTCCTAAAACGTGCCCAATGTGTGAATGAGGAAGAAAACCCCCGAAAATGCCTTCAAATACGAGCTTGGGAGTCAGATTAGGATTTCCGCACCCGGCGCATAAGTCGTAGCGCCCGGCGTAGGGCCTTCCAAGAAGTTAAGCATTTTCTGCCTCAGTAGTACACGCCCGACGCAATTCCTTTTGCACCCGGCGCAATGTCTTCCAGAGACTTTGAATCACTCTCTGTTTCGATCACGCCCGGCGCGGATCATCTTGCGTCCGGCGCATCCACCCTGCTCTGCTCCTTAGCTTATTATATTTCCAATCCAAGGGATCTTCAACTTTCTACTCTTCACTCAATACCTGCACAAAAAATGAGGTGGATTAAGGTATTGTTAGATGAATTCGGGTTAGTTATATCTGCACACAAAATGAACCAAAAGGAGAACAATTATATTGCAATGGTTCAGAGGATGAGTGGAATTGTTCAATAAGTCTTATCCAAAAAGAAGTAAAATTGAGACTTAACAGTGTCCGCGCTGCAGGTTACATCCAGATGGAGGAGCACTCCGCCTTCCGTGACCAGATTCGCGGAAAAGGACCAGCAAAGCCAGAATGTTAAAGATTGAAATAATTAACGATTTCAATTTAAGGAAGTAAATTTTTTTCATAATTTTGGGTATTAATATAATGCGGATACTAAAGAAATTAGGTAGATTTTTTATTAATTATTATTTACTCATCATCAAACTATCACATGGGAGTTGGATATATTATTTCATATTAAAATTTACGTATAAATATTAATAATAATTAATAAATTACATAGAAATGATTTTTATCATGCTATAAAATTGATAATTAAAAATTAATTTACACTTGTGAGATATAAGGGTAGGTTTGATGTTTCCGAATTCAATTATCAACTTAAAAATATCGTGTAAATTATGCCTATAAATAAATTCACAAATTCAATTATATAATCAGTTATCATATTTTAATTAGATTGAACGTATATAACGTATCGCAGGTGCATAAAAGAATCGAGAAATTGTATTCGTACGGAAATTTTATAATAAAGAGAGAAATAAATAAAAAATTGTGACATAAAGTAATTGATATAATAAAATAGATAAAGTAGTAGTGATATACTGATATTATAAAAAAAAAATACAAATAAATAAAATTGTTCGTACGCATATCGGACAAGAATCAGGCCACGTGTGAAATATTTATTGGTGATAGGTTTCAACGAAGAAATGATGTGTTCCTGTTCCATTTTAACGAGTAAGTTGAGTTCCTCTTCTAGTCTTGGGCTGTAGGCGATGACGACCGAATCCTCCAAGGATCCAAAGTCCTTGTACGACTTTGCTGTTAAGGTTGCTCTTCTTCTTTCATCTTATCTGTTTTTCCCTCATCTCTGTTTGTGTCTTCAGTTATTGATTCTAAACGAAAGAAATATGCAATCATTCCTCCAAAATAATTCCAACCAAACATGCATTAATGAGTGGGATGCACTCGACTCCAGGATTAACAGTGTGTATGACCAAGCGTTTAGTGTTTACTAAATTAATTTTTAATAAAATTTATTTAGGTTAAAATTGATTTTGAAGCAAAGTGGTTTGGGATTGGATATCCTTAAGTAATAAAGTAGTAAAACAGAATAAAGTATAGTTAGCATGATTTAGATGGTCCAATATGAATCTAGACATGCATGAAAGTGTTTACGTATGTTGTAAGAATACAAATATGATATATTTGTAATAACTGAAATTCCTGTTGAAATCCTTCCATTAACTTGCAGAATGCTAAGGGAGATGTTGTCGATCTCTCCACTTACAAGGGAAAAGTCTTGCTCATTGTCAATGTTGCTTCTAAATGGTATCCTTAATTTGTGTTATACCTTTACTCATTACTTATTTTTTGTTCCCTTGATTGTGCCTTCTATTAATTTAAAGCCTTGAAATTTTAGTCAATAACTATTCTCAGTTTCCCACCGCAAATCTTATAAATGTTAAATATATTTAAAATTCTTGTTTGGGATTGAAACAGTGGTTTGACCAACTCGAATTATGCGGAGCTGAATCAATTATATGAGAAGTATAAAGACGAAGGTTTGTATTAGACCCTTCACTGTTTTCCTGTTTGTCATTTCCAACTGTAACATCATACTTGGGATAAGCTCATATAGGAATAAGGGTCTGTTTTGCTTGGGGCCTACATGTTAGGGAGGAACCCTTTGGAAATTGGTTTTGTGGTGCATTACTTTGATCTTTCTGTTGTGGTACTAAAGATATATTTAATTAATATTCAAATGACTGGGTTGGTAAACTTAATTAGGCCTGGAGATTCTGGCATTTCCATGTAATCAATTTGGTGAGCAAGAACCAGAAAGCAATGATAAAATTGTGGACTTTGTCTGCACTCGCTTCAAATCTGAATTCCCCATCTTTGATAAGGTAGGTCCACATATAAATTAATTTTCAACTGCTTTAGGCTATGGTATATGACTAGCACTGGTATTATATATGCTTTTCCTTGTTATTGTGCTAGATTGAAGTGAATGGGGAAAATTCTTCTCCTGTGTATAAATTCTTGAAGTCAGGGAAATGGGGTATTTTTGGGGATGATATTCAGTGGAACTTTGCCAAGTTTGTGGTTGATAAGAACGGACAAGTAGTGGGTCGCTACTATCCCACCACTTCTCCTCTCAGCCTTGAGGTGAACACAATAATATTACCCTTCAAATTAATTAATTTATATGCTTTATGCTGCTATTCTGTTCTGTTGTAATTATTTTAGCATATATTTTTATGTATTGCAGCGAGACATCCGTCAGCTTCTGGGTATTGAGTGAAGGCAAAAAGATACAATGTGGCCTATCTCATGTCTTCCTGAGTTCATTATGCAATGTTATGTAATATGCACAAACTAATGTCATGGACATCATTCAGACCATGTTTCGTAATGACTTCCTTTAATTTCATTTCTATCATTCTCCCAGCTATTTAATGCATATTCCTCGTTTGTTTTTTTAACCCTCAACGTTCCATGTTTGTAATAAATAGGTGAAACCTATGAAAGCTCCAATTTTAATTGATTTTGTTTGTTCACGAGTGTTAGCAATCGATTGTCAATTGTTTATAATCGAATAATAACACTTTTCATGCATGTACCGTTGAATTTTCACGCTGATTTTTAAAGAAATAAAAAGGTATAGGTTTGGAATTTTTTATTTTTTCGCCTGACAATTTCTTCGTTTGCAAATCCAAATGCTTGGTTTTTTTTAATTTGTCATGTATTCCATTGCTCTCTCCCTCATTTCATTGGTATTTTGACACTACCAGATAGAAGTGCAGAACCAAAGTTAATAGGACAATCACCTCCAAAATTTTTAACTTCTTTTAAAATTCTTATAAAATTATTTCATGCCATCGCCAAAAAGAAAAAAAAATGTGGGATTTTTTTTTTTTGATTACATAAAGCAGAAAGAAACAAAAGCCGGAAAAAACAGATAACAAAAACATAATTCTCCTGGCTAGTTATTTCTAGCTAAACTTTTTACGAAGCACACATGTCCCTGTAACAAAAAAATGTGAAATTTGGTCATGACACTCTTAAATATATGAGAACCGCTATATCCTATGATAAAAAGTCCGAAACATCTTTCGACTCATTAAAAATTTTACACTTTTTAATGATTATATTATAAAACAATTATTTAATTTAATATTTTATAATTTAAATTAACTTTTTATAATTTGAAATAGTTTTCAAAATAATATTTCTCTAAATATATATATCCTGTTTCTGCCACTGCTTACGAGCACTATGCAATAAAATATAAAGTGACACAGAAAAATAAAATGATTTTTCTAATAAAATTTAAAAATTATACAAAAGACCTATTTTGCTAAGTAAAATTTTAGAGAGAATGGTAAGTAAAAATTATACAGAAGACCTAAGGTAAGGGAAACATTTTGAAAAAGCCAGTAAATTGTCATATATGAGACTGTCTTATTTCACTCATCCAACTCTTTCTCTTTGAAGTTAGACAAACGACCATCAAGGTAAGTTTATAAAGCTCTGTTCCTTTAAATCATATAAATGACTAAAAAGAAAGCTACTGTACAACTAATTAGCCGTGTATAATGCTAATTTTCGTTAATGAGTAAATGAGTAAATCTTATAAAACTAAATAGACTTAAATATTTTTTTAGTTTTTATTTGATTGATGATTTTGATTTTGGTCCTTTTTAAGAGTTTTTTTTTGTTTTTCATCCTTCTAAAATTTATAATATTGTTTTTTGTCCTTGTAAAATAAGTATATTCCTCTAAAATTTAAATTAACTATTTTTAGTCTCTAATAATCATTTTAAGATGAATAAATAACATTTATTTTAAAAATTTATAAATATTTTTAGAAATGTTAAATATCAATATAATATCAGTAATGATTGTAACTAACATATAAGATGATTAATTAACTTTTTAGTAAATAAAAAATAGTTAAAAATGATTACATAAAAATAGAGACTAAAAATAATAATTTTTAATTTTATAAAAATGAAAAACATTAAAAAAATTTACAAATACTCAAAATTTACTAATTTTATAAAGATCAAAAATATATTTAAACCTATTAAATATAAGCAACCTTCAACTTAAAGTATGTTTATAATGGAAGAAATTTAAACAAAAATAACTTTTTTATCATCCTTTATTGGTTTTTATTAATATTTTAAAATTACCATAGCTTGAAAATAGTTAGTTACCTAGAATTTTAACTGTCACAAGATCCTCTATAAATAATATCCCAAATAAATTATTGTATTTCCATAAAATAACTACGTTGATTTGACACAAAGTACAATAATATTTAAATGTTAATCGTATATATAAATAAGTCGTCATTAACCAATCGATTTACTAAGGATTACCATTCGTAGATTATTTTTTTTACATGTGAAAAAAAGGGACAGCATAAACAAAAAGAAAGATAGTTCCGCCTAACTTCTTAAAGAACATGATTAATCAATGAATAATATATTATTCTATCTATGTAATATATAAAGAGGATATTTATTTAATGATTACCTTGAATTTCATATTTAGTAGATAATATTTTTTTATTACTAAAAAATTAAAATTAATATTTTTATTAAACACAAAATTTGAATTTAAAATGTTGAAACTCAAAGATCAATCACAACAGTAATTACATCAACACACATTATTATTCAATTATAATTTTATTTTTATTTTTAATAAAGGCATAAAATACGTCAAATTTACTGATAGAGAACCCAACTTCACATAGTCCTGCTGCCATGTTATATTCAAGAAAACACATTTTTTATTTTTAATCAAAATATAAGTAGTTATAATAATTAATTTAATTAAATTTAAAAGTAAAATTATAATTTATGAAATTTATCATGTTTACTTATTATTAAATTTCTATAAGATGAAAGCATTATTACTACTAATAAAAATGATAAATAATAATTAAAAAGTTTAAAAGATGAAAGAGAAATACATATTATCACAACTTTTAATGAAGACAAAATAAAAATATAAATTAATATCTTATAAAAAAAAGATATCATACCTTATTAACGATCTATCGATTCTTTTTAAATTATATCGTAGCTTATAATATAGATATGAAAAAGTAAAATACAGTTAATACTTAATAGAATGCCTGCTGGTTTATAATTACCCCGAGTATATAACAAAATAATTAGATAAAAGTAAACCGACGCATTGGGGAAAGAAATGAAAAACAGATGTGACAACTGAGGTGTCAGTGGTTGAAATTAATGCTTCATAATGAAATCTTGAAATGATATCTACGGTCATCAAAGTGAGCCCTTAGATGTGCTATTAATTGTTAAAGTCGATCTCAACGGTCAACATAACATTCTTTCCACTTAATCTAGAAAATTGGCCTTTGATTTCACCAAAAACACTTAGTTAAGTCAAGAATGTTACTTGAACCCTGAAATCCATTAGTTACAGCATAGGTCAGCGAGAAGTTGTCACCCGTGAACCCATAACAGCAAGAAGAGTCACAATGCTCACAAATTCGGTTCATTTACAACAAGAGATATCTATACAAAACTGCAATGGTCTCTTGTAGAATAAATGTAAATGTTTATCCACGCGTCAAGTCAATACCGGTGTGTGGATGTGCACTTTTCACCTCTACTGGCCTTGATGCAGCAGGCCAAATGCCTGTGGCAGGAGAAGAAGAAGAGGTGTAGTTTTGATTAGGTGGAGCACTGCCTGGTGAAGCTAGCTTGTCACTACTCTGAGGCTCTGAACTGCTATCTTTTGTAGTGGTCGCTTGTTTAGTCTTTGGCTTAGAGCCCCCATATACAAAACTGCATACTACCACCTGCATAAAGCAAAGTCTCAATTTGTAAATTTTTGGGGGGAGGTTTGAATTTAAAGCATACTAAGATGCACAAGAATACAAATCATTCAGAATATACCATGCAGTTGCTGAACTTATTGTTCTAGCATATCTTGAATGGGAATGCAGCAAGCAAGAATAAGTATAATTGGTGCAAGAAACCTAGCTTTTGGAGCAATTAAGAATATACCTGCACTGGGCTTGCAGCAATAAGCCTAGTAACACCACCACCAATAACTTGACCATCAGGACTAGAAAGGGAAACACTCATGCCACCTGTTCTATTGCGAGGTCCACCTTCTTCAGCAACCAAGTAAGAACCAGACAAGCATAATATTTGAAATCGGCCCTGGAAAAGGTAAAAGATAAAATGTTTATTGTTGCATAATAGGAACCAACAACCTAAAGCACTTTAAGCAGTATCCGTCAGCTGTTGCATAGAGATGCTTTCTTACACATTAGCCCAATTTTGCTGAAATGAACATCATTAACCTCTTTTCTTGAACAGCACAGAACTATAACTAAATCCATTACTTGCTAAACAATAATAACTTATCACTTAGCTGGAACCATGGAAAGGAGATAGAGATAATAGAGCAGAGGATAATTATGATGTAAAAATTTCTAGTAGTGGAGGTAACTAATGTTTAGCTCTTTAACCTCATAAGTAACACTGACGCTAGTAGAAGCTGGCTGGCGCAGAGTGACAGAAGAAACTGTTCCAGTTCCTGTTAAGATGCACAGAGCCCTGGGTCTCTGCTGTGAAAATGAATATAACTTTGCTACGATGTCCTGAAACAAAGAAAGGCTATAAATCATGGAACTTCTAAATAACTAACAATCATAAAGGTTTACATGATGAATTTATGTTTATTATTTGAAGGCTGGAATTAAGTATCATCACTCATCAGTTTTGCATGCTAGCAACCACACTTATGTGCAATGTAATCTTCAGTTTATATATCATTAAAAATCCCAGATTATTATTCAATTCTTGCTGGTGTGTATTAAGTGATTGACAAATATATAACCATCCACGAGGGCGGGGGTGATCATAAATAATAAATGGTAAAACAAAAATCATATCAATATTATGAATAATAATAGAGAAGCACCCTATAATTTAGGGGGGGGGGGAGAATCTATTCATTAACTTTTCTTGGTTGGGCAAATTATTTTTTCCTCATGTTGATGCCAGCAATGACTTTGGAGTCACTAAAATTTAAAAATAGCCAAAATGAGCCGAAACATTTATATATTAAGGAATAAAAAAAGTTAGAATTAAACAAAACTTATAGCTGTTATGAATTAATGAAAGAATATAACTACCTCCGAAGCCCCAACAGTGATAACATGAGGTGAAAAAGCCAGTCCTGCAGAACTGTTCATCCATTCACCTAGGAAGAGAAAAACAAAAACACTGTTAGAAGTTCACACACTTCTTAGCAAAATAGATAAAGATGGCATTTCCTTTAACTACTGTGAGTTAGCATCAAAATAATAAATAAATAAATGTATTAGAAAGGGAAGGGTAAAGTACGAAACTAAGTGCCTAGGTTTTCAAGGTTAATTAATTCTTTTGAAGTGCAGGGTGAAACTGGAGCAGAAATTTGAATCTGGGCTGCCATGTAATTAAGCATTGCAGTCTGTACACAAGATCAACATTAGAATCATGATGCTGCTTCTTTTAAGAAATACCTGCTATATTTTTTCTTTTCAAAAGCTATCTCAGGAAGCTAGCACAAAAAAGTTTTTTTTATTTTTAAATTAAGCAGAACCAAACATGTAATAATTGCCTCAGTTCAACCAATAAATGCCAAGGAGATCCTGTATTAAAATTAAGACCAATTAAGAGATTTCTGAAGCAGAACTTATGACTAAGATGAGATGACATAACAATAACTTGGGAGTCCCGGACCACAAACATAAGCACAATAACGGCAACAACAAAATATAGAAGAAAAACAAAATCTAAACAGAAAAAAGCAAAAGAAAAGAAGAAAATAGAAAGTGCCAGTTCAAACTACAAAGTGTGCAGAAATGGAAAATAACAGTACAAAATGAAAGATGCATATCCACTGCTTTTCTCTTGTTCATTATATAAATGATGGCAAAAATGGAAAACTAAGTCAGCAAGTTAATCAGACATTTAAACAGTTATCAATTGTTGTAATCACCAAATAACTATAAAATTAGATTTTAACAACCTCATAGTTTGTTATACATGTACATGTATTTTATCATGATCTCAGCCATTAATTTTCTCAGAGAAAATACATAATTTAGTTGGTCTCCTGAAGATGCTTAATTGTATTTCCCTGATCCCCAATTATTTTTCCATCCATACCCTAAAAAGATGAACTTAACAGCAAGTTGACAATTTCAATAGGAAAAACTTATTAGCGAGCTGTCAACATCAAGACCAAAGAAGCAAGTAACATCTCTAGGGGACCTTATCAACAATTATTAACACCTCACTTTTCTCTTTTAAATGATAGTTTCACTTTTGAGAAGTTAAATCCCAATATGAATAGATCATAATCCACAGGAAACCATAATTTCAAATTCTCACATAATTATAAATGTACCTAGAGAGGCTAGCTGTTGCTTCCTTCCACTTCCAGGCGGGCGCCCTCGGGGCCGTTTCTCAGCAGGAGTCCCTAAGCCTGGGGTGGAATTAGCAGTGGCAGACAACGGAGAGAGCCTCAAGGAAACAGCTCCTTCAGGACCATACTTCCGAGGCCTCCCTCTTTTCTTTTTCACAGGCTCCCCAGAAGAAGATACTCCAGTTCCACCATCAGGAGAGGAACCTATGTTAATGCCATGGCTAAAACCAACACGCTGAGCCTGAGCCTGAGCCTGAACCTGAGACTGAGCCTGAGGCTCTACTGAAAATGTAGAACCTGAAGAGACATTTGACAAAGCTCTAAACCCAGAGGGAGGTTGGAACCCTCCACTCTGAGTCCCAGTTCCTGGACCTGACCCACTAACCCCTCCTCTATGCTGCATGTAATATGGAGCAGAGCCACCGGGAAATGCCATACCCTCTCTCCCATCCATGCATTTACTAACAGGTTTGTCAATTGTGTGAAAGGAAAAAAAAAAAAAAACTCTTTTCCTCTTAACCCCAAATCCTTTTACTAGTGCTGGCTTCTCAAACTTAGAAACCAGTGAATATTCAAAAACAGAGGTTGAGCTAGGTATCCTTCTACTAGTGAAAAGCAAATAGCTTTTTTCACAATGGCGGAAAGATTAAATTTTTAACCCTAAAACAAAGAAGGAATGAGAGGATCTAAAACCCTATAAGCTCACGAGATTCAAGTAACAAGCTCAGAGATTTTGTCAAGTGAATGCAACAAGAAAGAACAAGGGTTACGTGACGGCTTCGTTTACCACGAAACACCGCAGAGAAGAAGAGATGCAAATGGGCAAGTTGAAGGAAATACGAAAGGAGGTGGTTTTAAGGGAGGAAGAGAATCAGCATTGACATAGGTGAGTGAGGGAAAATGTAGAAAAAGCAGAGGCTGAGATTGAAGAGAGAAAAGTGAAAATAGGGAGGAGGCAGTTCAGTTGGGGAATCATGTCCTTAACAGGTTAAGAAAACAAAACCCTAGATTTGAAAATCTAGGGTTTTGACAGAAGAATGCAGTGTGAGGGGTGGAAAGGGGGAAAAGGGGGGAGAAAAGACAAAGAATGGGACTGCACTTGGGACTTGAGACTTGAGACTTGAGAGAGCAGAGAGGAGAAGGGAAAATTAAAATAAATAAATAATATGAAAGAGCATTTGAATTAAAGTGCGGTAAGCGCGTGTGTGAAAGAAAAGGATAGGTGTATGTATCTGCATTTAATTTAATTAATATGTGACCAAAATTGGCTAATAAATAAAAAAGAAGCAAATGGAAAGGGTGAATACTGAATAGTGGTGTCAATTTGGGACAGTGTGGCCCTACCAAAGTACCCAAGACACAGACCAAATCTCCTTTTTCGTATAACCAATGGTTTATTGGTCCCTCTTCGCCCTACGGAATCAACTCTCATCCATCCTTCATTTTCAAATCTTGTAAAATTTATCTTTCAAGATATTAATTTAAGCTATTTTTCTTATCAAATAATTCCGTTAATTTTAAGTTATCAAAATCTACTATTTTTTATCTTTAAAATGCATATTACTCTCTATTTTTCAGTTAAATATTTTTAATAACTTTTCTTTTTAAAAATGTATTTCACACATTATCTTTCTAAGTAGATAAAGTTCTTTTACAATTATTTCAAATACAATTCTTTTATCTTTATAATTTTATCTTCTCAATAATATATTTCATTTGATTTATCTTTTTTCATCTCTTACTCTAAATTGAATATTAATAACTTTTAAGAAATTAAAAAATATATATTTTATAAATTAAATTATTCATTGTAAATATATATTTAAAAAATATTTGTTAATTATGAAATTAATTAAGTGTACAAAATAAAAATTTATCTTATATAACATACAATTTATAATCAAACATCTTTGTCTAGTAGTTCTAAAGTTATCTTAGAAAATAGAGGGTCAATCTGATACTTCAAAGATCGATTATCATAGTGTTAAAATAATGTTCGACCAACAAAAATCATGTTTTACAATTGTAAATTAGTACTTGATTATAAACTTTAGGATATGTGTAAATCATGTTCATGGACTAAAAAGTTAAATTGTTAGCTAACATGAAAAGAGAAGTAGGTTTTAAGTTTTTATGCATCAAACCCATAATGGATAAATGTATCTCCTCGAGAAAAAAAAACTTTTGTCAGTAATAGGCTTATCATCAACAACATAATGGTTGCATCCGAAATTATTCACTATCTCTACTATCACATAGGGGGAGTAGATACGAAGTGACACTTAAAATGGACACTAGTAAGATTTTTGACAAATTATCTTAGGAATACCTTGAAGTCGTGCTTCCCAAAATGGGTTTTTGCAATATGTGGGTAAAGTGGATGATAATGTGCATAAATTTTGTCCAATATAACATACTAGTCAACAATGATCCGATCGATTATTACTCCAAGTAGAGGCCCATGGCAAGGTAACCCTCTCTCACCATACCTCTTCATCCTTGGCATGGAGGGGTCACAAGTATGCTCAATAGTTTGAAAGCTCGAAGGGATCTACATGGTATCCAGGTTTGTAGGAACGTGCAAATTTTATCAGTTATTATTCATTGATGATTGCTTCATGTTTTTCAAAGTTGGTCATAAAGAATCAAACAATATTGCTAACATATTAAAGACTTTCGAGACTAGCTATAAACCACAAGAAATTTAAGATCTTTTTAGTAAGAACACTCCCCAATCCACCCGTCAAGTCACAATAAGCACCATTGGTGTTAAAGAATGCAACAAATTTGGGTTGTACTTGGAACTACCTTCATTGATTGGATGACAAAAAAGAGGTATCTCCTTCATCAAAAATCGCTTAAGGAAGAAAATACAGTCTTGGAACAAGAAAACCCTTTCAAAACTAGGAAAAGAAGTCATGATCAAAGCGATTCTCCAAGTTATCCCTATGCATGTGATGAGTGTATTCTTGATCCCTCGGTCAATAGGTGATGAGATTGAGAAAATACTAAACTCACATTGGTGGGGTTCTAATATGGTACATAATAAAGGTATTAAATGACTTTGTTGGAAAAAAATTTGGTTATGAAAAAATCTTTTAAAGACCTAGGGTTTGGGAGCTTAGCAACCTTCAACCTTGCTCTATTTGGAAAACAATTGTGGTGTCTTGCAACTATCCCCAAATCCCTCATAAGTTAGATCTTCAAAGGTAGGTACTATCCACACGATGACTTTTTGACTGTAACCATTGGCCACAACCCCAGCTGTGAATGGAGAAGTGAGTGGAATGCCCAACACCTAGTAAAATAAGGATCTTGTTGGGAAATTGGAACAGGTATGAATGTATTTGTTTGGAACGACCCGTGTTAAGAAAATCTACAAACAACAAATGCACCCAACCAAAAAAACTATCAAATTTACAAGAGCTCAAGGTTTGTGACCTCATTAACAGGGAAATTGGTTGTTGGAATGTTGACCTAATATACACCCTTATCAACCTTGAAGATAGAGAATCAAGCTACCATTCTCCTATTTTGAGCCTTAATAAAGAGGAGGAAATGGTTTGTGAATGGAACAATTTTGGTGAATATTTAGTAAGATCATCATATCAGGGCTATATGGATCAATCATATCATGGACATTAAGCACCTAAAAGAAGAAGGAATTTGGGAAGACTTGTGGAAAATCATTGCTCTCCAGAAAGTGAAAGCTTTTGTTTGGTGCCTGTGCAAATATTGCATTCCCACTAGATCAAGACTTTAGGCAAAAGGAATTCAATGTCCTTTCATGTGCACGTTTTGTGACACTCATTTAGAAAATGCATGGCTTCTCTTCACGGGGTGTACATTTACTCATTAGTGTTGGCAATCTACCTACTTCAAAGACAACTTGAATAACTTACTTTCCAAAGTAAATAGCATGAAGGAGTTGGTTTTCAAGGTACTTCATGATTGGGATGAAAGTCAATCTTCAAAATTCGTCATAGTGCTTTAGAGTATTTAGAGGGTAGAAATGCTAAATTTTGGAATAATACAGAGTGGAGTACCAATAATAACATTAAGAGCAAAATAATATTTTACTACATGGTCTCAGGCATGTAACTTCAAAAAACCATCCATGCGGGTCGCTCCTCTCACCTGTCATGCAGAATGGGAACCTCCTGATCAAAGATCTTTCAAGTGCAACATAGGTGTAAGGTTTTTTTTTTCCTCAAACAGATCTATAAGTATTTGGATGTGCATAAGCGATCATTACAACACTTTTGTGGAAGCTAAAACTAGCAACTTTCCATTTTCCCCTACTTTGCACATAGGTGAGGCAATAAGCTTGATGGAAGCACTTTGTTGGATCAATAACCTTAATCTTAGCAATGTTTATCTTCGAAACACATAGTTCATGTTCCATGACCAACATCTCCAAGAACATTGCAAAATCTTTCGAATATGGGGGTATCATAAAAAAAATGTAAAACATTTTTTAGTAGTTTACACAAGTGTAAGGTTAACTTAATCCAAAGACAAACAAATTAAGTTACCCTTAAATTGACAAAGGGTTCAAAATTCACTACTGGTCTTAACACCTATACTTACATAACTCCATGTATCTTACACCAACATTTATAAAATTTATATGAAATAAATTAATTTTGTTTGTACAAAAAAAAAGTATATATGCATATTATAAGGGAGAAACATATTTTAGTAACTACCTTTTAATTTTTATTTATATTAGACACTTTTACTTTTTCATATACTTTGTAATTTTAAAAATTACTTTCTCCATGGTGAATAAAAAGAAAAACCCACTCATTCTCATTTTTCAAATCTTAATCTTTTTTTCACAACCATATTCTCCTAAAACTCTTAAAAAATAAACATAGAGAAACAGAAAGTACCTTTTCCCCCTAATAGTCATTATATAAAAATAGATAAAAACAATATCCCTAAAAACTCTCTTGTAAAATAAAATCAACTAAAAATACTTTCATTAAAGAATGGTTTATAAAAACATCATCATTCAATATAATTATTTAAATTTTTTAATTAAATGACAAGGTTAAATTGGTTTTTAAATGAATTTAAAATCATTTAAATTCACTTTTGGAACTAGAAAAACAAATTATAGTTTTAGTTTTACAATTAACAAGATACTTCATCCTTTTTATATTTTTCTCCACCTTTTTCCACCTGCCACTCAATTTTCTTTTTCTCTTGTTTTTATTTGTTTGAACGTGGTAAAAAAAAAATCAAATTGTCCATCATGAGCCAAAACCCTATCTTATAATGAAATGTAGACCTTAAGCTTTAAATTTTGAGTATGGAATAAATTTAGACCTTTTAGTGAGTTTTGCCTCCAAAAGTCTTTACAAATCAAGTTTTCATTAAACTTAGACCATAATGTTTAAGTTTAAATTTAGTTTAGACTTTTTTCCTTAACCAATTGTAGCTCAAGTTTCACATCAAACCTATAATTAACCTAGCTCAAATCTCACTCAAAGAAATGTAAGATTTGATCTTTAAACTTTGAGTACAAGTGAAATATAGGTCTTTTTAACTTGATTCCATCATGATCTAGTTTGAGTTTATTTTGCAAATAACTTTATAAATTGAATTCTCATTAGAATTACTCCTTATTTCGTAGGTGTTAATTCAATACGGATTTTTTATGATGGTATGGTGTAGCTTACAACTTAAATTAGCCTTGTGATTGGTTCAACTTGAACTTGTATTGATGATAGAGGTGTTCATAACCAATTTAATCCAATGTGAACCGCATAAATCAAACCAAAAATATTGAAAATCAAAAACTAAAAAAACTTTTAAAAAAAATGGATTGGATTGATTTTTGATTCCAATGAAGACCAAATCGAACAATTTCTCTCTCTCTCCCTCGCTCTCTCTCTCTCTCTCTATATATATATATATGTATATATCCAACTATTACCTTTTTTGATTTTATTTGATATTCTATGTTGTGGTAAACAATGTATTAACTATCGGGTGCTTAAAAATCTAATGATTTACTTATTTTTTTTCAAATTAGTGATTTTATAATGTTATTGAATATTAATAGATTATCTCAATCTGTCATTTTGTATATTAGGACTTATATTATTATTATTATTATTATTAATTAATTAGTTAATGATATTAATAGTTATTTTTTTCATAAAAATATTGTAACTTTTTTGACCCATAAAAATATTATAACTATGTTTAAAAAATTAAAAATCTATCTAATCCAAATCGAAATATATTTAGATTGGATCGGATTAGATTTAATTAAATTTTTAAACTAAATTAATTGAATAATTAATTAATAAAATTAAAGAAATTAATCATTTATTTTTCTCCTTCAAAATCAATTTAATCCAATTTACAAACACTCCTAATTGATGAATTATTGAACTTGGACTTTTAAATTTTGAAATAAATTAAATTTAGGCCTTTTTTTTTATTTGGGCTTAGCATGAAAAAATTGCGTGCAAATAAAACATGGAGCTTACTTTTGAATCTTAGATTGAATTTGTAAAATTATATTATAAGTGTCTTAATAAATTGTGTTTTTTTTAAGAGGACTTTGTTAAAAGTAAATCAGTGAATTGAAAAGAAAAACTAATATTAAAAACTATAAATTTTTTTAAAAAAATTACAAAAATAAAATAATAAATACATTAATTATTAAATTATCCTCATAAAAAATAATTTAATTATCTTAATTTAAAATATAATTTATTATTATAATATTTTTTTTTATAATAGTCATGTCATTGATTTCAACACTAAACAACTTAGATATGTCAGGATTTAAGTAAATAAAATAAAATACAAACAAACTAAATAAAGTTATATTTGTAGGGACATAAATCATATATTAACTCAATAGTATATATTTTAATACAATTTTATTATTAAATATTCAATAATTTATTTAAAAAATATTAAATGATTAATTAAAAGATATAAGCAATTAAGAAAATTAAATGAGAGATAATTATTCTTAAAAGTCTTAGTATTTAATAAAAAAAATCCAAAAAGCTTATCATTGAATAATAACTACAACAACTACTTTTGTGCTTTACAAAAATATTATTCAATTAAAAGTTAAATGATAATTTCTTTTACAGCTAAATGATATAATAATTAACCACATATTATCTCAAACTTGATTTCAAAACTCGGTTGGAAAATGAAAATGTGTCTCTTTTGTATGATAAATGGTTGGACAATGGTTATCTTTATCATCTTGCCCCTTTTGTGCATATTTAGGGTTTAGGGTTTAGGGTTTAGGGTTTAGGGTTTAGGGTTTAGGGTTTAGGGTTTAGGGTTTAGGGTTTTCTTCATGGGCACTTTTCTTCATGTTTATGACTTATACAATCATGGGTCTCAAAACATTAATATTTTGGTTAACAAGATTCTTGATGAAGCCAAAAAGGAACTCATGAACCACATGTTAAATGAAGAGGTGGAGAATACCATCATTTGGAGTCATTCTTTGAATGATATCTACTTATCAAACTCTACCATCAAATGGATCTATTTCGAGAAATCATCGCCTATCTCTTTGACAAACTGGTTTTGGGTTTGAAAATTTAAATTATCAGATAATATCCTTCACTTTTTATGACTTATCTTACATGGTAATTGGTAACCTACTCACCAACATTTTTAGTCTTTAAACATTTGTTTATGGATTTTTCTTATAACTAGTGCAACAATGGACAAAAGTCTTCAACATATGTGTTTAGAGATTGTAGTTATGCTTAGGCAACACTTAAAGTTGGACCAAAACAATAACTTCTATAATATGAACTTGCACAAGTGACTTCTTTATAATCCTCACAATGCAACAACTATAATATTTGCAGTTACATGTTGGATAATATGGAAAATAAGGAACACAACCATCTTTGAAAATATCAACTGAGATGTAAAAAATCATCAATCAAATTTGAACTATCTTTATAGATATTAATAATACTCTACGAAACCTTGAAAACAAGAAAAGTTAGAATAGTTAAATGAGAACTACCAATTTTTCTAGTCGTCAAATTAAGCATTGGTGGTAGCTCACTAGGAAACCCGGTAGGTGATGGGTTTGGAGATATAATTTATAATCAAAGTAGACAAGTAATTTCAAGTTTTTTAGACTACTGTGAAATCTCTACCAATCTCAAAAAGGAATTGTTAGATATTTTTTTATGAATTTAAAAAAGTTTGACACTATGATATTCACAACCTTATTTATAAATCAGATTTTTTTATGACCTTAAAGTTGACAAGAAAAAATGGCATTTTTCATCTATATTACACGCTTATAAAAAAGATTCAACATCTACTTCTTTAAACTAGATTGTTATCTTTAAACATATCCTCTAAAACGTTAATTTATATGCCAATTTCTTAACAAAGGATGTTATACATGATCAATTCATCCAAATTTGGACAAATAACACCCCTTAACTTGCTTCCTTTTGTTAAATGATGCCATGAGTGTCATACATTAGAGTGTATTCTTTTTTTCTTCAAAAATTGCACGGCTTTAAGGACTCGCACTGCTTGGAGTTCCTTTCCATAGTTCCCGTCCGCATAGGTCACACGTTATGCGAGTTTTACACCAATGGTTACACGTTAAAATCCAGAATGCAACAAAAAAAAAACATAGTCTAGAAACTCTTGATGGTTATGGCATTAATATTCTTGTTGACGATCATTTCAGCAAAGTGAGATTGTGGTTTGATATCGAGCGCTTAAAGGGGAATTACAAGGAACAAGGCATCGAGTTTAACTTGAGAAAATTTTCCCAAGACATTTTAGCATAATGGAGTTGTAAAAAAAGAACGAACAGTTCCATTGATGAAATAATTGGATGCCTGCTCATCTGCTCTTATAGAATTTTTCTGATAGTCTATTTCAATGAATCAATTAAAATCGAGAGTATTTTCTGCCTCTTCTTTTCTTTCTTCTACAAAATCATATACATAATGCGATAATTTCTCACATGTCCCTAATAGTTTTACCAAAGTCTTCAATCTACAATTGAATTAAATGAATCTAGCCAGAACAGAGCTTGCATCTCAACTGACACCAGGTCAAGTCTACAAAAGATGAAAATGTTGTTGCTGTTAGTAGTTTGATCTCCCATTCAGTCAATTTTCCCTTCACCTACTCTGGTGCTTATAATACCTTCAATGTAGCCACACAAAAAAAAGGTGATTCCAGTGAACAGTGTTGAAAGTTAAAAGTACAAGTATCTCTGAAAATATCCATCATGCCCAAAGACAATCACAAGAATGAAAGAAAACGTGTTTTTACTTTTACTCTCAATTCAATCAATCGCACAAAACATTGAATTACACAAACGATTTTAGTGTTTAGTGCAAGAAAAATGCAACTAATTAAACCCAATAAGTTGTGCCGTTAACAGTTTTGTTCTCAATTTTTAGGTAAAACTTAAAAGTCTGTACAGATTGTATTAGTAACCTCTGCTTATAATTACAACTGGAATAGTAGAGAAGGTACAGCTCTTCTTATCAAATCATAATGAAGCATTTACTAACTCCCCCCACTTAACTTTTTTATTAAGGTTGTAAACTAACCCTAATCAGACTGAAAGATAACATGATTAATTCCATCTAAGCTATAGAATAGAGAATGCAAATATAGGAAAATATAAAATCCATTATATTATACTGTCCACCAACCTACCTTTAATTTAGAGGTTCCAGTGATTTTTAATGCATGCCAACACCTGCAGAAAAGAGAAACCTAAAAAGAGAAAAGGTACATAAGAGTAAAAAGGAAAAGAATCACCATAGCAAGTGACTATTTTTGAGAAGTAGCAATCATATAAAGACAAAAAGAAGAAAAAAAATTGAGACTAACATTAGCAGGCTTGAAAAGTAACTTTATTAAAAGCGCCTTAATCCTTTTCTATCAGCTTCGTTTTCCTGTTGACAAAATCCAGGTACCCCTAGAAAATACCAACATATAAGTAGATGTAAACTAAACTGAATTACCTAGCTCAACATACAACCTAAAATGCAAACAAATATAAACAATGTTAACATAGTTCGGATTAAATCTCCGAGTCCCTTACAAATATAAGAGGGTCTATTCGATCAATTGTGTCCTTCAACAAATTCTATTTTTCAATTGAATCTAATTCCTAACAGAACCATGAAAACCAGACAGAAAATACTGGTGTAGCAGTACATAAATAGTCTCAGATGGCCCTAGTAGATGATGTCACCCAATAATCGCAGAGATGGAAATCACTTATTAATCAGTTCAAGGCTCTCATTGTCATACATATTCCTTATAAAGAATTGAAAAAAAAAAAAACGATTTCCTACTTCAGAAAAAAAAATGCACACATCAATTTGAGGCCTCACTGGTTTAATGGATTCTTATTATGCTTTCAGTACAATTGCAAATGAAGAAAACACATTGTCTTTACTAAAAGGACTAACATGAGAAGAGAAGTATAACAGCAGAATGGTACATTATGTCAACTGTCAAGAAGCAGGCCATAGAACTCACCTGAAGTATTCCTACTGCAGCAAACTTGTCTAGCATAGTCTTGGACAGAGATGGATGATTTAAGTTCAAAGGCTTTAGCAGCAATTCCACATTCTGCAAAACAAATTTAACTTCAGATTTTGTCTCATTATTTTGAGTTTGTTTAGCTGAATCAGATAAGTTTTCTTTCAATATACACAGGAATTACCACATAGTTCGAAAAGAAAACTTTACAAACAATGTGGCATGCAATTTCAATCCAGTTTCTCAATTTTCTTTCATTCATTAAGTTAATCTTTCTCCACTTATATTTAATCACATTAGTTTGTACAGATTCATGTAAATCTTCTTCTGCCATAAAGCAATATTCATATTTAAATTCAATATACAATACTTAGTTCACACTTCATAGATATTTAACTCTGTTGGCAGAGGTAGTCGCCAACAAGAGAAAGGTTGTAGTCATGTTGGAAAATCTGACACGAGAAAGATTTAAATTCACAAAGTTTCATAAAAGAAATCAAGTTAATTCACCTTTGACGTGAAGCACTCATTCCAATATGTATACTTTACACCTTCAAGCATTTTTGTTCTACAGAGGAGATCAATGAAGAGCTTCACTTGCACAGCCTGACAAAAGTAGAAAAACGTATTGAGTACAGAAAAAAACAGCAATACATGGTACATGGATGGTCAAAGAAATGAAACTCACATCAGCAGACAGCCGATGTTTGTCAAAAGGGATGCCAATAACAAAGCCCTTTAAGGAATATTTAGAGATCTGCATAAAAACAGCTGAAGTCATCATAACATGCTTGGGAGTACACGGTTCAAATCACTACTAGTACAGACATGAATAAGAAAGCAAACTGAAAACAGCTTCATCTTTTTTTCCCCTCAAGCAGCAACACTGGTGATGATTGGTTACATTCAAGGTAAGAGCCTCAACTCAAGTAACATATTTTACAAATATAAGTTTAAATTGGATGGAAAGGGCGGAAGAAGCTCACCAGACTCTCAAAATCAGAAGCCATTAAACAAATATTTGTCTTCTTCCTGACGAGAACGCTGAGGCATTAAACATAACAGAGCAAGCGTATTCGTTATTTACAGAAGAAAAAGAGAGAGAGAAAACAATAAAGTATTATTTTGCGTATGAGTAGCGTACCTGAAAGGTGAAGCAATTTTGTTATCAAAGTCAGAAAGAGCAAGGCCAACATATTTATCCCCGACATCCAAACCAAGCAACCTTCCGCGTTGGTTTTGGGTTGTATTCATCAAATCACGAAACAATTGCAAGGGCTTTATGTACCTCATTTCATCTGCGCATAAATAAAACCCTGGCTATGAAAATTTGAAACCTAATGTAGGGCATTTTAATGGATGAGATAAAAGAAACCTGTTGAAGATCTCTTCGTTCGGTACAGCACCGGCGTCGCACTCAACAACGAGGTCGAGTTATGTTCTATTCACCCATCATATAGCGTCGTG